AAAACAACATTACGCGTTTAAATCTTAACAAAGTCACCGTTAAAGAACTTATTCGTCAGGTAATTACAAAATATAATGTCTATATCAGGTTAAAATTTAAAATTTAAAATTAGCTTGTGAAATCGCTTCGGGTTTACAACTTCAAATAAAAGTATAAAATCTTATTAGACTTTTTTTTTTAAAAAAAAAAATTCTCAGAACGTTTAATTTATAATGTATGCACCTAGAAACTACATTTAAGTTGGCTTCTCGAAAGAATTTTCATATGATCTCATTGTAGAAATGGTAATAGTCAACGATTTAACCTTCGAAGGATTTTTAATTTATTACAGTTTTAACGGTACCATTATCACCACTAACGTTACCACCATCATCATCACTACCCACTAATCTACCGTCGAAACCTGATTATTGGGATATCCAAGCGAAACAATTTAAAATCGATACCTTCACTTAATGTATTCCCAACCTAACTCAACTACCTAACCCTAATTCAATTATTTAGCAATTATTTTATTTTGACCTCAACATCAATGCCTCCATTAGTTAATTATATAGTAGCATTTATCAAATTACTTTTGATGGAAGGTATTGTAGAAACGATAATGGTTTTTTAAAGCCTTTGGATTAAATTAAATAATCGCAGTAGGAAACAATTCAGAATAGGAAATTTAGGAAATTACTTGCTATGTAATGGGATCAGAGCAATCCTTGGTATTTGTTTTTAAGTTTGGATTTGCGTTGTAATAATAGGACCCTTAACAATAATGAGGAGAATAACGCATTGTCACCTTAATCTCTTCAATATAATAATCTTTTGAATGATATGAAAAGGTTGCAATTTATTTTACAAGAGTAAACATAACAGGTTTAATTAATATTTATTTTGGACGACATTATTTAATTTTTTTTAAAAGTTCAATATCTTTATTGTCTATTTGTTATTATATCAATAAAAATTTTAAATTTTTAATTTATTTATAAATTCTAAAAAATATGAATATATTCCATTTATATAAGGTAAGGATTTGCCAAAAATGATGTTTTGTAAATTAAATCAGAAATGTTAAATCAATTTCCAACTAATTTGCCAATTATGGTATCAAATACATATTTATCTAACCTTTAAGAAATAATTGTGCCATTCATACTTTTAGTTGTTCTATTTGTTTGGAAGAAATTTGAGTTGATGTTGATGTTGCTTTGATAGTAAGTTACAAAAGCTCTTGGTGATTCCAAGTTTTTTTTTTGAGAATATTTTTAATGGTTTCTAAGTAGTGCTTAATATGAAGGTTGTGTTTCTAAACTTTTTTGAAACTCCGTATAACCTTATCAAATTTAATTTGTTATGAATTGATTTCTTTATTTTATTTTATTCATGATTTCAATTCTAAATACATATTATTTTTTCGATTTAAAAGCAGAACCCCAAAACAATTCTAAGCTTATTGACTTACATTATTGATTATAAAATTATAGCTGTAAAATTTCCTGAAAGTATTCAACCGCTGATTTATTCTGGTATTCAGAACAAAGCGAAAGGAATGCCTTTTGAAAGTTATGATCATTAAATTAACATCGCTACAAATCTCGTCGTATCCTATTCCTTCCATAGGTTCACTGAGCTAGGATTAAGGTCATGTTTTTTCTCTTTGATATTATTAAAGAATTCATTCTATTATTGTTGGGTGATAAGAATTTTTTAGAAAACATTAATACTCTTTTTTTATAATCACTTCAAATGTCGATCAGATTTCAATTACTCAGTATTGTTTAAAAATCAAGTTTCAACTGGTGAGTTGATTTAATATTATTTAATTTTTGTTTAAAAAATTATATTATAGTACTCTTACCTTATATGAAACTCATTATGATATTTATCTTGAACACGTGACATTTTATTTTCTTACAACATAACGGTTAACAAATCATTTTGTATTAACTTTTAAACTTTCTATATTGGGTTGGATTAAATCGATGCGACGTGAATTATCTATCAACAAAACACTATCATAGATTTTAGAATCGTATTTAAGAATGTCGAGGAATGCGCTCCTAATATAATCTCAGGTAAATAAATGATTTGTTAAGATCTTAAAATTTTTATTATTTATTAGTCGTAATTTGATTTGAAAAAAAATATCTTTGTTAGTAAATCTAATTAATTAATCTTTTTTTTTTTAAAAAGAAAAGGTAGAATCCAAATCAACATTTAAGAAAATTTTACATTTCTTCTCTCTCTAATATATTTCTGGATTTAGCACTTTACGAAATAATCAAATTAAATAAATGCTTGGTTTACCGGACAGTTCGAACAAAAAACATTCTGGAAGATATCACTTATTTCATCTAGATTGTATTCAAATAATGGTAGGATGTCAACAATAGTCTCGTATGTTAGCTTAAAATTCAATTCGATTTCATGATATTATTTCTTTACATATAGGAAATGACCATCCTTACTTTCAATGCCATTCAAAGATGGATATTCATCGAGAGTATCTTGAATGTGATGAATTTTACTGTATAACTTAATTGACATGAAGGTGGAAATAAGACGAACTTCATATTTATAATTAAATCTTTGATGGAACTAAAAATTCTTTCTCAACACATGAAACAATTTCATGGTATTCCCCCTCCTTTTTAACGTTAATATCAAAATTCTGATTTCGAACATTTATATAATAAAAAAAATATTTTTCATATATATTAAGATACATTATTTTACATTTGGTATAGAATTAAACTAAACGTGTTTTTATCAGACAATGATTTAGTTCAGCCATGTTTGATAAGATATAGATTCTTTTGGTTAGTTCAAAGCTGATCAATCATAATCTGTGAAATGTTTCCTTATTAAGCATAGGTAAAGTTTTCTCTATATTAATATAAAAATTTAAATTTGTTATACAGTATATGGTAATTATAAAATAAAACACCTAATCTAATACCTTAATAAAAATTATTTATTCCATTGAAAATTATAACTTTTTCAAATTGGATCCAAGTTTTATTAGAAGAAACTTGAATAATACTTATAAATTACACAAAGGTTATATGTTAATTTATAATTTTTAAAGATTATAAAAGTTAATAAAACTTTAGATTTTTTTTTAAAATAAAGTTTTTATGATGTAAATAAGATTAAAGAATAAGATAGATGATCTTTTTCTTGAATTCTGTTATAAAACTTTTAAAATTAGCATTACAAAATCAATTTTTTATAAATTAATAATAGCCAATTAAAATTCTTAATAAAACTTAATTATATTTTTTTTATATAGAATTATAACTAAAATTTAATTCTAATAACAGATTTATTTATTTTAATAAGCAATTTGAGAGATCAATTTAACAAAAAAAAAATTACATTTGATCAGCTTTTTTAGTGTAACATAAGTAAATACTATTCTTAAAATAATAGAAGAATTAATTAAAAATATATTTCAATATAAAAAAAGTATTATATTAAGAATGAGATTTTGCAAATATTTTAATATCTAAAATCTTGATAATTCAGAATCCTGATTCCAAAATCCCAATATATTTAAATTTTTGATAGTTCATAATTTAATGATCTTTAATCTTAAAAATATATATAATTTCAACTATTCTAATCTAAATTTTTTAAAAAAAAAATTATAGTATATTATTAATATATTTTAAATATGATAAATACTATACTAATTAGATTTAGATTTATTAAATCAAAATTAGAATCAGAAAAAAAGTATAGAATTGAAATATTTTTATTATATTAAATTAAGATTAGTTTTATATAATAAACAAATTTTTCTATTTCTCCTTTAAGATTTTTTTATGTTGGATTTTTTAGAATTAATTTTAGAATTTTTTATTTTGATTTAAATTATATTATCAAATCTTATTTTAATCATCAAAATCATATAATTTTGAGATTTTAACAGTCAAGTTATATACATTTTAGAATTAAAATCCATTGGAATTATAATTATTAGGATTTTAAATGTCAAAGTTTTAAAGTTAAAATTTTAAACTTTTAGAATTATAGATATCAAATTATTATTATAAATCTATTAAAAATATATATTAATTGTATTTAGTTAATAACTTTGATTTTAAAATACAATGAAAATTAAAATACTATCTTTAATTTATTTTTAATAATGAAGATAAATAAAAAATATTGATTCAAACTTCTAAAAAGTAAATTAAATTTAATATTTATAAAGGTAAATCTAAATTCAATAGAAAAAAAACTATCATATTTATTAAAATTTTATTTAAAACTGTTTTGCAATTTCTAGAATCTCTTCTAAATCCTTTTTTTATTGAGTAATCCAATTTGATCATTTATTAAAAATCAAGTACAAAGATTTGTGTTAAAATAAGATCATATTTTAGTATTAAATATTAAAAAATAACCTTTATCTAATCTATATATTTTACAAAAAAAAAAGTCCAAAATAAATGTACTATAATAAGAGTAAGATTACTTTTATTGATCTATACCAAATTTTTATCATAAAGATTTGATA